CGACTACTACTACTACTACTACTGCTACTACTGCTACTACTGCTACGACTAGTACTACCACTACTAATTCTACGACGACGGCCACCGCTACTGCTACTGCTACTGCTACTGGTACTGCTACTGCTAGTGCTATTCCTCCTACTGCTTCCAGTCCTACTACTACTACTACTACTACTACTACTGCTACTACTACTACCACTAGCACTACTACTACTACTACTACCACTACTACTACTACTACTACTACTACTACTACTACTACTACTACTACTACTACTACTACGACTAGTACTACTACTCGTACTACTACGATAACTTCTTCTACTATAACTAGAGCTACTACTACTACAACTAGAACTACTCATACTACAACTGTACCCACTACAACTATAACTACTACTACTACTACTACTACTACCACTACTACTACTACTACTACTACTACTACTACTACTACTGCTACTACTATACCTACTACTACTACTACTACTACTACTACTACTACTACTTCTACTACTACTACTACTACTCTACTACTACTACTACTACTACTACTACTACTACGACTACTACTACTACTACTACTACGACTACTACTACTACTACTACTACTACTACTACTACTACTACTACTACTACTACTACTACTACTACTACTACTACTACTACTACTAGTACTACTAGTACTACTACTACAATACAACTACTACTACTACTACTACTACTACTACTACTACTACTACTATTACTACTACTACTACTACGACTACTACTACTACTACTACTACTACCACTACCACTATTACTACTACTACTACTACTACTACTACTACTACCACTACTATTCCTGCGAAGCATGCCGACCGTCGTGTGTTTCAGGCGTGTCTCCGCGTGCCCTCGCATATATCCCCTGTTTATGTTTCCCCCTGCCTCCTTTTATATATCCCCACATCCTCCTTCTGGGGGGAGCCGAGGGAGGGCGACTCGGAGGAGGAGGAGGGAGAGAAGGCGATGGGAAGCAAGACAGAAGGCGGTCGTCGTCGAGTCATACACGAGAACGGGTCTGACGACTCACACGGCGGCGATGTCTCAGACGATGACGGCGACGACGACGACGACGAAGACGACGACGACGACGACGATTACGATGACGACGACGACTTCGACGACGACGATTCAATGGACGACGGCGTCGACGATCCAGCGATCTTTCCCGACCAGTTGTGCAGTGAGCGTCCCACGGAACTGGCTGCAACTGGGCGCTGGCGGTACACCGTCATCCTTTTTTCTTTGTTTCCTTGGCTCGGAGCGCACGGGGCACAAGTCAGCACCCTGCTCAGGCTCGCAGCCTTGAGCTGCACCTGAGAGGCAGCAGGTTCGCCAATCAAGTCGGGCGCGGGCAGCAGGCGGCAGTTTAGGAGGGAGAGGTGGAAGAGGAGCACAAGGGGAAACTCGCCTCCAAGATCGGCCCCCTCGAACAGATCTGAGGATTTCCGTCGGTCGTTGCCAAAAGAAGGAGGAATGACCACCTCCTCATCGGCACGCACAGCCACCCAAAACTTCAAGACTGACTTGCCGGGCAACGTACTGTGGATGACGTCAGCCTCGCCAGGCGGTAACCATGCGCCACGAACTGCTAGAATGACACGCGGAGTCTCTGACGCATCTGGAAATCGGCATGCGGCATGACCCTTTCAGCAAGCTATTCGACCCGTTCGGAGACGGATGCGCGCAGCTAAATTCTGCATATTGGCTTTCCGACGGAACGCCACCATCGAGCGATGACCCAAACGTGTCCAGCATGAACTCTTCGAAGGACTTGCCCTCGCCCTGGTCGCTCCAAGGGGCCCCCGTTGCCAGCAAGGTTACCAGGGCGCACGGGCACCTCTCCATGCCGACCGCAAGGAAATTGCTGGAGGGCGGAAACGGTTGCTGGTAGGCGGAGCTAAGCTCACAGCCACACTGCAACGCTGCGAGCCAGAATGGCAACAGCGACGACAACGCTGGAGCACATATGGACTTGGGCAAATCCTGAGCCCCTTGGTGACCTCGTGGCACTTCCTCGGAGCCTCTTGGGGCCTCACGCGACTGCTGCACACCCTCGGGATTTCTCCCAGCGGCTTCCCCCGGGCCTCCAGAACCCGAGGCCGCGCCATCTCGATCCGCATTCCTTCTGGACTTTCTTGGAGCTTTCTTTGAGCCCTCTTACGAGATGTAAAAGCCTCCTGGGCCCTCCTGGGCCTTGGACCGTCTTGGAACGAACTGGAGAACCTCAAACGCCGTCCAGAAGCGTCGGGAAGTGAAGACAGCGACAAGACAAAAAGCGTTGCGCTCCCGCGGGCGGTATCATCACACCACAAACGTGAAAGCCTTCGTGCGCGCACCACCAGAACTCCGATAACGAGAAGGAGGAGATGGACGAGGGGCGGAACGACCGATTCAAATTCCACAAGGGGTCACCTATGAATAGTGGTTACGGAAAATGTCTCTTATTGTTTGTGAACGACGGGCTGAGCTATGCTCATTCTCCCACAGACCTTGCGAGCATGGAGACGCATGGGGCTCACTAGCAGGGTTACCAGACTTTGCCATTAGAGCGACGTTACAGATGCGCTGGTACAGCGCTCTCACGACTCACACGCAAGGAGGCGCCCGAACGACTCACACCAGGACGAGGGTCCCGAACGACTCACACCACGGGGAGCCCGAACGACTCACACACAAGGAGGGGCCCGAACGACTCACACCAGGACGACAGGCCCGAACGACTCACACCACGAGGAGCCCCAACGACTCACACGCAAGGAGGCGCCTGAACGACTCACACCAGGACGAGGAGCCCGAACGACTCACCACAAGGGGCCCGAACGACTCACACCAGGACGGGGGGCCGAACGACTCACACCACGAGGAGACCGAACGACTCACGCACAAGGAGGGGCCCGAACGACTCACACACTCACACCAGGACGAGGGGCCCGAACGACTCACACCACGAGGAGCCCGAACGACTCACACACAAGGAGGGGCCCGAACGACTCACACCAGGACCAGGGGCCCGAACGACTCACACCACGAGGCGCCCGAACGACTCACACGCAAGGAGGGGCCCGAACGACTCACACCACGACGAGGGGCCCGAACGACTCACACCACGAGGAGCCCGAACGACTCACACACAAGGAGGGGCCCGAACGACTCACACCAGGCCGAGAGGCCCGAACTACTCACGCCACGAGGAGCCCGAACGACTCACACACAAGGAGGAGCCCGAACGACTCACACGAGGACGAAGGGCCCGAACGACTCACACCACGAGGAGCCCGAACGACTCACACACAAGGAAGGGCCCGAACGACTCACACCAGGACGAGGGGCCCGAACGACTCACACCACGAGGAGCCCGAACGACTCACACACAAGGAACGGGGCCCGAACGACTCACACCACGACGAGGGAGCCCGAACGACTCACACACAAGGAAGGGCCCGAACGACTCACACCAGGACGAGGGGCCCGAACGACTCACACCAGGAGGAGCCCGAATGACTCACACCACGAGGCGCCCGAACGACTCACACACAAGGAGGGGCCCGAACGGCTCACACCAGGACGAGGCGCCCGAACTTTTCACACCACGAGGAGCCCGAACGACTCACACACAAGGAGGGGCCCGAACGACTCACACCAGGACGAGCGGCCCGAACGACTCACAGAAAACTCCAGAAGCATGCACACACGAACGAACGGCCCGAACGACTCCCAGAAAACCCCCCAGAAAACAAGCGACCCGAACGACCCGACGTCGTCGTCGTCGTCGTCGTCGTCGTCGTCGCGGTTGTGGTCGTCGTCGTCGTTGCGGTCGATACCGTCGTCGTCGTCGGGTGCGTCGTCGTTGTTCAGATCATCGCTGTGGTCGTCCTCTCCGCTAAGTCCCTCTTGCCTCCCACCGCTTTCTCTCCCTCCTCCTCCGCCTCGTCCTTCTCCCGCTCCCCCCACAAGGAGGATGTACAAGGAGGCGGGAGGAAAGAGGAACAGGGGAGATATGCGGGGGCAAGCGGACACACGCCTGAAAAACACGACTGTCGGCATGCTTCGCCAGAGTTGCTGTTGTGAGATGGGCTGGTGGGGATACGCGAAGCGTAAAGAATTTTCACTGCTTTTGGGCAGGGCTGGCAGTGCGGAAAAACTGTATGTCCGCTGCGCGCTGGCCCTCAACCCGATAGATACACAATGCAAGCCCGTTGCGGATGCACACGCCCCGTACAGCATGGAGACTCGTTCAAAGCCAGCGTCGCAACCGATTCCATGAATCAACTCATTTCTGCAGAAATGAGCACCCGACGACAACGACTACGTTGACGACGACGACGACGACGACGACGACGACGACGACGACGACGACGACGACGACGACGACGACGACGGTGACGACGGCCAACGAAAGAACGAATGAACGAAGGAACGAACAAACCACCGAACGAACGAACGGACCGACCACCGATGACGAGGACGGCGGCGGCGACGACGTTGGCGGCGGCAGCGACGGCGACGGCGGCGAAGGCGAAGGATCAGCGGCGGCGCCGGCGGCGGAAGTGGCGGCGACGACGACTGGGCAGTGCGGGGCGGGGGGGGGTGAGGCCCATGCCTGGCGGAGGGGGCCAGGTGCCTCTGACACAGGAAGGCGCGCCCTGAGCTGTGCACCGGGGCACAGGGGGCAGCGAGCGCAGGGGGAGGAGGAGGAGGAGGAGGAGGAGGGGGAGGAGGAGGAGGAGGAGGAGGAGGAGGAGGAGGAGGAGGAGGAGGAGGAGGAGGAGGAGGAGGAGGAGGAGGAGGAGGAGGAGGAGGAGGAGGAGGAGGAGGAGGAGGAGGAGGAGGAGGAGGAGGAGGAGGAGGAGCCTCTTGAGCTGCGCTCTGTCGATCAAGGCTGGGAGGAGGCGGGCCCCGCGAGGGCGAGGGGAAGAGGCACGGGCCGAGGGGCGCCACGGGGCGGGCGGCGCCTCCGGCGGGGCCGCCGCGGCTGCCCTTTTGGGGAACGCGGCAGTGGCCGCCGTCGGTCGTCCGCCGCCGTCTGTGTCGTCGCCGTTGTCGGCGGCGGAAGAATGAGAACGAGAACGACAGGAACGATAACCATCCGCCGGCCCCCTGGCGGGGCCACACCAGGCTGCAGGGCGAGGGGCCTGCTGCTCCCTGCACCAGTTCCAGTCTCCAGTTCCCACTTTCGCGGTGCTGCTTTTTACGCTGCTGACTGTTCCTTGTTGCAGAACGCGCCAGGGGGGGAGCCGAAAATCAGCATGGTTAGCGTCTCCTGGGAGGGGTCTCAAAATTTCTGGGGGGGTCCAAATTCACACCCCTCACGCAGATCGGCGACGTCAGGGTCCAAAACCACATGGGATTTGCCACATTTGTGAAATTCAGCGACACACCTCACACAGATCGGAGGGGTAAGGGTCCAAAAACCAATGGGATTTGCCACATTTCTGAAATTCGGCGGCACCCCTCACGCAGATCGGCGGGGTCAGAGTCCAAAAACCGATGGGATTTGCTACATTTCTGAAATTCGGCGGCACTCCTCACGCAGATCGGCGGAGTCAGGGTCGAAAAACCAATGGGATTTGCCACATTTCTCAAATTCGGCGGCACCCCTCACTCAGATCGGCGGGGTCAGGGTCCAAAAACCGATGGGATTTGCCACAGTTCTGCAATTCGGTGGCACCCCTCACGCAGGTCGACGGAGTCAGAGTCGAAAAACCAATGGGATCTGCCACATTCCTGCAATTCGGCGGCACCCCTCACGCAGATCGGCGGAGTCAGGGTCGAGAAACCAATGGGATTTGCCACATTCCTGCAATTCAGCGGCACCCCTCACGCAGATCGGCGGAGTCAGGGTCGAAAAACCAATTGGATTGCCACATTTCTGAAATTCGGCGGCACCCCTCACGCAGATCAGCAGGGTCAGGATCGAAAAACCAATGGGATTTGCATGTCCGAAATTCTATGGGAAACCTCAGTCGTGCACAGCAGATGGGGGCAGGTTCAAAATGCAACGCTGAGTTCAACAATATCATCAGGATCTCAATTTCTCTTGCCGATGCTGCTTCACGGCTGCGCCGAGGCCTCATGATTTAGCTCTGACATAGCCCATTAGCCGAGAGAGGGGCGGGCGACAGGGGGCGAAGCCCTTACGGATAATAATATCAATACTGATCAGAATACCACTAATACAACTAATCATGAAAATCGTAGTAACAATGATAATAATACAGATAATAATAATAAGAATAAGAATAAGAATAAGAATAATACGAAAACAAATAACAATATATTCAATGATCATCGTAAACAGATACATACAAACATAAATCGAAATGATAAAAAAAATGATTAAACAGCATGATCGACCCACGAACCCGGAATATAGAAATGTAAGACCTGGCAACGGTTCAAAGACACCTGATTGGGCGACGGGCAAAAGCAATGTTTAGTGTATCGATCTTGATGTATCGTGCCCAGGGCTGTGCTGTGCAGCGCTGTGCTGAATTGCGATGTGCCATGCCACGAGTGTGCTCTATAGCGTTGTGGATCGAGCCCTCCTTTGCATCCAAGTCCTGACCGAACTGATCTGGATCTTAAGCTCGAGCTGCCTGAGCACATAACTAGTAGCTGCCCCAGAGCTGATTGACAAGGGAACATGCCAGGAGGACGCGCCGCGGAACGTCTCAAAGGACGCGCCAGGCGACGTGCCAGGGGACGTGCCATGGGGACGCATCGCGGGACGTGCCAAGGGGACGCGCTACGGAACGTGCCAATGGACGTGCCACGGGACGTGCCAGGGGACGCGCCGCGCGACGTGCCAGGGGGACTCGCCACAGGAAGCGCCACTGAACGTGCCAAGGAACGTGCCAGGTTGCAATGCTGAGTGTATCGATCTTGGTGTACCGTGCCGAGGGCTGTGCTGTGCTGAGCCATGCTGAAGTGCGATGTGCCATGCCGCGATTGTGCTATGTAGTGTTGTGGATCGAGTCATCCTTTGCATCCGAGCCCTGACCAAACTGATTTGGATCTTAAGCTCGAGCTGCCTGAGCACATAGTCCACATAGTAGCTGCCCCAGAGCTAATTGACAAGGAAACATGCCAGGAAGACGCGCCGCGGAACGTTCCAAGGGACGTGCCAGGCGACGTGCCAGGGGACGTGCCATGGGGACGCACCGCGGGACGTGCGTGCCAGGGGACGCGCCGCGCGACGTGCCAAGGGGACTCGCCACAGGAAGCGCCACGGAACGTGCGAGGTTGCAATGCTGAGTGAGTGTATCGATCTTGATGTACCGTGCCGAGGGCTGTGCTGTGCTGAGCCGTGCTGAACTGCGATGTGCCATGCCGCGATTGTGCTCTATAGTGTTGTGGATCGAGTCATCCGTTGCATCCGAGTCCTGACCGAACTGATTTGGATCTTAAGCTCGAGCTGCCTGAGCACGTAGTCCACATAGTAGCTGCCCCAGAGCTAATTGACAAGGAAACGTGCCAGGAAGACGCGCCGCGGAACGTTCCAAGGGACGTGCCAGGCGACGTGCCAGGGGACGTGCCACGGGGACGTGCCACGGGGACGCACCGCGGGACGTGCCAAAGGGACGCGCTACAGAACGTGCTGGGGACAAGCGTCGTGTTGGTGGCCTGGACACGTAAAAACACGGTGCCAGCTCGGGACAACCATGTTAGATACCCCCTGGGTGGCCTGGACACGGTTTACGTGTCCAGGCCACCCAGCATGAAAAAAACACGTGGTTCCAGCTCGGGACAGCCATGTTAGATACCCCCCTGCGTGACCTGGATACGCCGAATTCGCGCTCCCGCTCGAGACATCCTCGCAACGTCTTCTCTGGAGAGGCCCGGAAAGCTCAACCCCCTGTTCAGAGCAAGAAACCATCACTTATCTGTATTTGGACGTATGTTCGGGTAGCGCTTTTCGGCCCCCCCGTGCGTTTCCTCATAATTCGGCGTTGGGCCCGACGCCATGTTAGATACCCCAACTCTGCAAAACCAGCGTTTCGCTCGAGACATAGGAAGGAAGGGAACGAGGGAGGGAGGAGGCAAGACATGGAACGGTGGAAAAGGGAGGGAAGGAGGAGGTACGAGGGCGAGGTGGAGGGAGGAAGGCAGCAGAAGGCCCGGCGCAGGGGAACGAATGAGGGAGGACGAAGGAGGCAGGAGGCAAGGGCAGGGAGGAATGAGGAAGCAAGAGGGAGGGAGGGAGGGAGGAGGGGAGGAGGAAGTGGGAGAGGGCAGGATAAGGGAAGGGGGAACCAGGAGGAAGGGGGGAGGGCAAGGAAAGGGCGAGGGGCGGGCGCGCGCGAGGGGCGCGGGCAGGGCTCGCCCTGGCGACGGCGGGGGCGCGGCGTCGCCCGGCGGCGGCGGCGCCTGGGCGGGGTGCGCATCCGCCGCTTCGCGCCTGCGGCACCCCGGGGCCGCTGGGCAGAGAAAAAACCCTCTCTGGGCCGGCCGGGGCCAGCGGGGGCCCTCTTCTGTCCTGCGCCCTCCTCCTCCTCCTCCTCTTCCTCCTCCTCCTCCTCCTCCTCCTGCTCCTCTCCTCTCCCTCCTCCTCCTCCTCCTCCTCCTCCTCCTCCTCCTCCTGCTCCTCCTCCTCCTCCTCCTCCTCCTCCTCCTCCTCCTCCTCATTCTCCTCCTCCCCCCGGACAAGCCTCACGGCGGGAATCGGGATGACCCGCATGCCAGTTGCGCCACCGCGTGGGCAAGGGGCCCGAAGGCGGGTGGCGCTTGCCAGAGTGCACAGTATCCTCGCGCCCCTCCACCGCCTGTTCATGTCCCTCCGACGCTTCACCCCGCGCAGCATGACAGGCCTTCAGCATCAAATCAAACTGAAGGTTGAGGTTCAGGGGCAGTGCTGAATCACCCGAGAACGCTGGGCAAGGCTGACTAGACAAAAGCATGTGGTGACATATGCTATGCTATGCTATTGAAGAGCCCTCCCCCCTCCATCCACTTCTGCCTCATCCCCTGCGGCTCCCGTGTCCATTCCCCAGAGGTGCGTGCGTGTGTAGATGTGTACGTGTGTGTGTGTGTGTGCTTGTATGTGTGTATGTAAGTCTGTGTGTCTGTGTCTGTTTGTCTGAGTGCGTCTGCGTGCTTACATTGAGATGACTCACTTCTAGTCCACTTTGAGTTAAGTACTCTCCTCGTTTTCTGGCTGCTGCATGTGCTTTTGGACATAGAGTTTCTCTAACCTACTCATCGTTTGCATTTTCCTGTGTGCGACACTTGAACGCTGCGCTATCGACAATGCTCGGCCGCAATTGGCACATGCTTCTGCTGCTCGCGCCTGAGGCCCCTCTGCGCCGCTGACTGAAAAGTATGTATGTGTGTGTCTGTGTGTGTGTCTGTGT